GCAAAACCTACATGTGACTCAAGTCATTTCACTATTTTAGTTGGAGGACATTTACAAACGTAGTACACAATAGTGATTTCAAGTAGGGCTGGACACGGTCCAGTCCTGTCCGGTTAACCAATAAATTATCAAGGACCACCGGTTCTATTTAATGGGTATTTTCGGTCCGGATAAATCAAATCTCAAAATACCAACCAGATCTTACCCGCCGGCCCGTTTGAAACGGGTTGGATTGGTTCAGGTTCTTGGTTCTTATTTTTTGTAAAAAATACCGCTACACTCACAAAATGTATAGTAGGTAATAAAATTTTCAAACTTATTAAGTATTAATGTCACCATAATATAGTAATAATTCAAAATAAAAAAAATAAAAAAAATATTTTAATAAGTTAAAAAAATATCAAACCACAAGTGTTTTAATTAATTAAATAGCATACAACACAAACTAATAACACTAAAGTTTGAAATGTAGAAAAAATAGACATCATCATCCTTGTATAATCAAAAAAAATAAACCCACAAAGTCATAAGAAATCAGACTAGTCACTACACATATATGTCTAAGAAAATTAGAAACTTAATAAATCTCAAGGTAGAAGTTAAATTAAGATAATTAAATGAATATGTCACACTTTATCGAGCAAGAATCTTTGAGCCAGTCTGGTGAACATATGTTTTTTTTAGCTTAACAAGCTTATCAACCATTTTTTACTAAACACATAACTTTTGATTTCACGCGTTAAATTCGGTAATAATAAGAAAAAGTAAGGTTGAAGTTACTTATCTTGATTCAAAAAAGGTTAAATCCCCAACCCAAGCCCCCCCCCCCCCGGCCCGACCCGACAGGTTGGAGTTACTTTTCTGATTGTATTAGCGGAAGTTGCTATAGAGGATCATTTTATATTAGATTGATTGGGCTTTACTATTTGTATAATTAGTATAGGTGGGCTAAGGGCTCTTGTTTGGTAACACTAAACCTGTTCTCCAAGTATAACCACAATGAGCGTGCTTCGTCATGAAACGGAATGGAAGCCGCTAGTGCCGGATCCATACACCGTAGCAGCCACGAGACAACCATAGAGTTCACTGTCTCCCAGTTGGAAAGCTGCGCCGCTTCAGTCGGTTTCTTTTCTGTTCCGTCAATGAACACATATTTCCGGCGTGCCTTGAGACCCAAAGAGATAGCCCGAGACCACGCCACGAAATTGTCCCCTTTGAATATGACATGAGTAATTTGGTTACCGGGTTGATCGCCGGGTCCCAAATAATATACGGAAGTTGGGTCGCCCATGGTGTAGCTCCGCTTCTCGCACGCTGGTGCTGTCTGCGAAGTTCTTCCGAAAACCACGACGCCAATCTACCGCTGCTCTGATACCATCTAAAGTAAGGAAGCAAATAATGATTTTGATTGGAAAATATTCTCCTGCCTATACAATTAGTGGAGCTAGAATATATATACACGTGTTATGCTACCAAACAAGAGCCCTTAGCCCACCTATACTAATTATACAAATAGTAAAGCCCAATCAATCTAATATTTTAGCTATTTTCATATAAATTTTTCTTTATGTTATTAATAAAATAACTTTTAAATATAGTTTTTATATAAATTAGCAGAATCAGTCAATCTGACTACTTCAGCAAGAATTTCATAAGTTTCAACAGAATCACCCGATACAACCAATTTTGATATCACCGAACCAGCCCTTTGTTTACAAATCAATAAATAAATCGTTTCATTTGAAATAAAGAATTGGGGGTTATAATTTAGAAATTTATATGAATTTTGAAACTCTTTTAAATCATAGTTATGAAAAACCAAATAGAAGCAAAATCATTTCATATTCATTCTAAAACATACTCCAAAATATACAACTAATATTCATTCGAGATAAAAATAATAATGACACATTATGTAGTGCAATACTAAAATGTACTCCGTAGTATTTTGAATAACTAGTAGTGACATTGGCACATGTGGGTCAATCTATTTTCAAAACTGTTTTTTAGCAAGTAAGTTTGGGGAAAAAAATCATTCATTTCTAGAGAGCAGTGAAGGGGAGCCGGCCCTAGGGGAAACCCTAGGCGGCCATCCCCAACCTCCTTCAAGATCTGATTTTCAACCTTTTCCGTTTCAATCAGCAAAAAGTTTTGGAAGATGATGACATTCTTTATGCAGTGAAAGATCGAATCAAAGGTTTTTCAATGCTTCCGTTCTTTTTTAGTTTGTATTTTTGAGGATTTTGGTCCGGCTTCTTCATTGGCCGAGAATTTTGTCTGCTTCATGTGAGCGTGTGGTATGTTATTCTCCTAACAATGTCTAGAGCTTATGTGTTTTTAATCGGTGTAATCGATCTGGTGAATCTTCGTTGTTCATGGTTGGTAAAGCTTTTTCAACTTTGTTGTTCCGATGTTCCAAATACTCGCCCACCACCTGAACCGCCGCCTCGCTCTGGGAAGAAGAAGATGATCAATTGGATCTCCTTTTCGGTGGCTGGTCAAACCGATGCTTCAGAAAATTTCTACTCGGCTGATTTTACTTTCATTTGTTGGTTGCTGGTCAAACCAATTCTCTCTTTCCGGTGGCTGGTGAAGCCGGATCTTTTAGTTGTAATTTTTTATTTTCTCTTTGGAGTAGCAAGAAGAGCAGCAAGGCTGTTAGACTAGACTACATTATTCCAGGATTAGCGATCTGGAAGGATTCATTGGATCTGTTCTGTTCTATGTCTCATCCCATTCTAGTTTTAGGCTATTCATTCTCTTGTATCTTTGCTATCATTTAATAATAAATTAGTAATTTGATTTTCAAAAAAAAAAGTAGTGACATTGGCACCTGCCATATATATAGCACTGGTATTAGTCACAAAAAAGTTCGAATAAGGAATAGCGGCACTTGATTAAAAAATGTTCAAGAATAGAGGAATCATAAATTTTCAAATCGTCCAAAAAAGGAAATAAAAGAGAGATGACAGGAAAAAAGAGGAAAAAGATGAAGGAGAAAGGGGGGAGAAAGAGAAGGAGATCAACACTTACATACGATAAATTGATTAAGATAAATGGATGTTGTTGTAGCTTTGAGATATATCGCTGATGGCGATGCAGGTAGATGAAAGACGGAGACGAGAGATTGGAAAGACTGGCAAGAGGGGTAGAAGGCTTACGTCTGAATTTCACAAACAGGAGAGAGACGAGAGAAATGAGATGAATCAGACGACATGACGATTTGTTTAGAAAATGAAATAGGGTTAGGGTGCTAAATTATAATAAGGGAATTTGAATCTCAAACTCCTATTTGTGAACTTTTACAATGAGGGGTGATATGTTTAGTAAGCGGCACTTTAGTAAACAACTTTTTAAACAGTCTATGTGTTTAATTCACATGTCTTACTAACCTAACTGTAACTTTAGCAACGAAGTAAACACGTCCTATATATGACTTTAGCAACAAAGTAAAACCCATCCTATATGATTATATCTAGCATGGATTAATGACAATACAAGCATACTTTCCTTTCGTTTAATAAATCAGTAGGATGTTTCTCAGCTCCTATCCCAACCATTTATGGTTGGACTCGACATAACTGGGTAAAAAAAGCGTGAAGACATGATTCAATAACTTGAATTTACCTTTCCACTTAAAATTGGAAGTTAAATAGTTCAATACTTGGAGTTCTTATTGAAGTCAATAATTTTTTTATAATCGCTTATGGTTACAATCCAATATAAAATCAATCAACACACCAGTAACTTACATCATCAAAGATTTTTTACTCCGGTTGTCCCATTTTACATATCATATTTTCCCTTTTGGATTGTCCCAAAATAAGTGTTATATTTCTTTTTTGGAAATAAATATGTGATTAACAACATTTCATTGTATCATACTCAAATCTGAACCACAACTTTTACTTTTTCAAACATTTTATTAATAATTGTGTCATGTCAAAGTAGGACACATAAAATGAGACGCATTTAGTAACGTAGCATATCTTTGGAAGAGAAGATTTCAGTCTCAATTTGGCTCCAAATTCCCATGTATCACACATATAAACAAAAAAATTTAAACCTAAATGCAAATTTATTTTTAATCGTCAAAACAGATGAGTTAAATTGATATTGCAGCATTCAGATAGGGGATAAAACAAAAAATGACCACAGGCAACCGCCAGCCCTCGAACCAGACTTAGAGTCAATCACATCCAAAAAAGCAATATAATTCACGGATCCCATAAATGAGCCAAGGACGGTTAAAGCAGACCTCCCATCACACAATCAAGAGTCTTACAATAATAAAAGTAACCGAGAGAAAAATAAACAGTTTAATCATGAAAAATAAATATCAAACAAATAGTAAAATTAAAATATTGCTTCCAAGCGTTAAACTCTCCTGCACTACATGGCGGCAGTTCAGGAGGGGGACGGTCCAACAGTACTGAAGCATCTTCCGCTCCTTGCCTTTGGTCCAGATCAGTTCCAGCCCCTAGCCCCACACTTCGTCCATGAGCTCAACCATGAATGGTATCCTCGAAATTCTCCACCTGCTACTAAGGATATACAACATTTGGCTGCCATATAGTTGTTGCGGTATGTCGAAGAAGAGAGCCTCACATACCCATTCCTTAATGATTCTGCTCACATATTTTAGTAGGAATTTGTGCTGCAGGTTTAGAAACTTTTTCCGGGTAAAGTTGAAAAAAAGAAAAATGTCACGTGAGAATGATAAATACAGAGAGGGAATAGCAGTGGGCACTTATTACACTCACGCTTACCCCTACTAATTTCTGAACTCTTTTTCTCTATCAAAAGCACAGATACGCAAAAGCTTTCTACCTACAATTTCTCTCATTTAGTTCCATCACAGTCCATATCCACATTCTTTAATTTCTTGTGTTCTTTTACCTGTCATATGATCCTTTATGCTTATCTGGGTCAAATCTGATCATTGGTTTTCTGGTGTTCCAATTGAAAAGCTAGCTACTCCTGGCCTGGAGATAAAATGGGGAAGAAGGGAAGTGGATGGTTTTCCTCTGTAAAGAAAGCCTTCTACAAACAGCAACCTATGAACGATTCTCCCAACAAGGTTAGTATGTTACATTGCCTACAACTGACTGTAATGCCAACTTACATTTGTCAAGTGGTATTTAGTTTTTTTTTGTTGAACTAGTAAAATGATTTTTTGATGATTAAAATGAGGACTTGATTAAAATGATTCAATCTGATGATTTTTTGAAGATTTTTGTGACATGTACATCAGCCAAATACCACTCCATTGGAGAGTTTGGTTTCTCTGTTAACAATATAGATTAGTGTTAGAAAATTTAATACTATAGATTCAACTATTTTAACTAACTAACCAAATTACCTATGATCTATAAGACTACTAGTTCTGATTAGGAATGTTAGGTCATAAAACATTGACCATATATCTAAAGATACAAACATTGTTCTAAAACATGGGCGTAGCCACTGGGCCAGACTAGGCGAGTATAAATTTTTTCTGTATAACTTTTCAGATGATGTTTTTACACTAATAATTGAAGTAATTTTAAAATTTGGGTGGATGGGGTCCTAGGTTGTCCACTCTCTAGCTCCTCTGGGGTTCCCAAATGTGCTAAAGGCTATTCCTCATAGGCCGTCCTTTTTATTTTTATTTCCCATGAGATTTTGTACGAAGTACGGAATATTATTTATTAATGACTTTATAATGTTTTGACAATAGAGATAACCCGTGTAATTATTAAATGTTATAGTATATTTTGTATTGAAATTATAACTAATAAAATAATTAAATAGAAACTTTTAAATAAAAATAGGAATATTAAACTTCTTTGTTAATGTGGTAATTTTCTAATAAATTTAATAGTATATGTAGAGTATTATTGATCAAACAATGTTTTAGGACAAAACGGATATAGTAAATCGATTCCAAAGTTGGTACCAGCCTATTCCGGACCGTCTAGCTAGGCACCGCCTAACCTGCCTACGGCTGGCCAATTTTTCTAACGGATTACAACGAAATCCAGCACCCGACCACCGCCTAGTGCCTAGGCCGATTTATAGAACCCGACCACGGCCTAGTGCCCCAATTTATACAACAACGTATATATACAACTAACATATAATGCATTGGATTCTGGAATAGTTGAAATATTGATATCACATGAAACTTCAATAAACAATCTAGTGTTAAAAAGTGTAGACAGCCAGCAAGGCAAAGGAGCTTTAAGACCGGTCTGCTCCAAACTGTTGTTGCAGACTTTTGATAGCTTACCTAACTGAATTAACTCTGCTGGGCACCCACATATGTATGGTCCCAATAAGCCAGGCCAGAAGGGGTGGTGTCACTATTACAATCCAGTTATTATATTGCTATCATCATCCCACCACAAACCTAGGTACTGCTTATGTTTAATGATGTTTTAATGATTGGAGGTTAACTACACATTATTCAATTTCCTAGGAGGACAGAAACAACTCAGGAGAGGACAAATGGGACCAAGAAGCCCCGGAGGTGGTCTCACTCGAACATTATTTCCCTTCACCTGATCTGACCAGCAGGGAAACCAACGGCAACGATTCGCCGGTCGATGATCCTAACCGTGCCATCTCCGTCGCGCTCTCCACTGCTGCGGCTGCTGCCGCTGCCGCTAAGGCAGCTGCAGAGGTTTTCAGGCTGGCCGGATGTAGCCGCTGGTCTAAGCCGGACAGAGCTGCCACACTCATTCAATCCCATTACAGAGGATATCTTGTACTAACTGCTTCCAATGCTTTCTTTTATTCCTAACTCATTAAAAAAAATGACTTGAGGTGAAATGCATAAATGGTACAGCTATTGTTATTGTTTTATGCGCGTCGACCGAAATTCTATGCGTAAAGTCCACTTCAACTTATGTTTGTCCGTGTGATCACAATAGAGTGGCTCTACACATAGAATTTTAGTTGCTGTGTAGAATTTTTAGCCGTAAATTTGAATAAAAATTCAAGTAGGAACATTTATATATAGTTATGGTACTCATTTGATTCATTTAAAAGTTAAGGTATCAAAACACAACATCAACAGTAGTTTTTTTTTTTTTTTGAAAATACAACATCAACAGTAGTTACGCTACCATGTATGCATTTCACCCCTGACTAGAGATTAACGGGTGCAGTCAAGTCTAATCTGAGACTAAAACTCACTATAAGTTCATATACAAAATATAAATATACTAAACATTTCAACGTACTAAATATGAAGCAATTTGACGAGATGAAAGATGTTGATATGCTTCGTAGTGAGCACGTTGATTCTCATAACTATGAGTTGCGAATACATAAGAGTATTTTTTTACTCATGGGGTGTCGGGGGAGGGAGCAGGGAAGTCTGAGTAAACTATCTTCATAGAGTTTCGAACTCGAGGAATACCGTACATGAGTGAGTCAGCGACCTAGTTGAGCTGGAGACAAACCTCAAAAATGAAAAAGAAAACATAATACTTTTTAGGATGAAGGGAAAGACTGATAAATCAATGAATGTGATAGGCAAGAAGAGCATTGAGGGCGCTGCGGGCATTGGTGAGGCTGCAAGCATTGGTAAGGGGTAACTATGTGCGGAAGCAGACGCTGATGACGATGCGGTGCATGCAATCTTTGGTGCGCGTGCAGGGAAGAGTCAAAGCCGGGAGGGTGCTGCAATCCACCGCCGTCAAGCAGAAGCTGCCCTCCATCAACCGCCACTCCGGTGGTGTCAATGTTGACTTTGAAGCTGAAAGGTCATTGCAGAACCTCGAAGAAAGGATGAGGAAGCTCGGAAAGACATTGCAGAAGCAGCAGGTGGAGAAGGATGATGATGAGGGGGTGAGTGATGCGATTCTGGAATCTTCTGGAGGAATGGATGATGATTCAGAGATGAAAAGAGAGAGAGGTCTTGCTTATGCGGCCTATGCCTACCAGGTTCCTTCATTTCTCATTTCATTTCACCAATATACATATCTTCCTTTTTCCTTTATAGGGTATGTTTGGGAGTTCGAGGAAGGGTGGGAAGACTTCGAAGGTAAGTTGTAAGAGGATAAGGAGGGAGAAGGTTAAGAAACTCTTCTTTTGGTAATAAATTTGGAAGATAAGTTGTAAGAGGGGAAAGAAGGGAGAAGGGAATTATAATTACAATCACCCGTGAGATTGACGAATTCAAATAGTTGAACTAATATTCATTTTAAACTGATCTAAGTTATCATTTAGTTAATTATCTTTCAAAACTTCCCAATTTGGAGAACTTAAAAATTGACAATTGAGATGTTTAGGAAGATCACAAAAACCCTGAATTGTAGTCTCAAAATATGTTATTGATTGTTTTTAACAGGACAAAGAGCAAATATTATGGGATTCTAGTGCAAGTGACCACCATCATGAAGTGTTGTTTGGGAAAGAAGAGCCAAAATGGCGAAGGAGTTGGATGGATGGATGGATGGCTTCACAAGCAACTGAGTCTTCGCGGCCTAGCCAGCCACGAGATGCATCTTGCCTGACCATTTCCAGTTCAGATGGTATATCCGAAAAGACGGTTGAAATTGATTTTCCCGCTCGATTAGTCCGACCCGAGCATGTCCAATCAACAACCAAATATAACTTTATTAACGCGGGCGGAGCTAGTAGCCCGAATTCAACCTATGGACGTCGACAAACTTGGCCGGGCTTGGAAGCGAATGTTCCGAGTTTCATGGCCCCAACACAATCTGCTAAGGCAAAGGTGCGAACCCAACAAGACTCGAATAAGATCCATACCCAGAGAACAGCCCAATGGAACTCATCAACCAAAAGTAGACCAGCTCGTCAGATGGGCTCAAGAAGCCCAAACATGAAAGCTTATGCGAAGCAAGCGAAGTGGATGCCCACTTATAGTTACAGCAGCCCAGAGTCCAGCGGAGATGATAGGGTGTCACCATTGATGAGAAACTACGGATGGAGATATAATTTTGGTTGATTATTTGTTTTTAATCGTGTGATTCCTGTGTTGCCGTACTTAGCTCTGTCTATTGACTCTATTTAATCATATCATTTAGGAATACTCTATTTTACTTTTAAAAAAATCGAATACTTTAGTAGGTTTCTCAACAATAGAGAAATGGATAATAAAAAAAATCCTGAAGTAAATATGAATTCTCTATCATTTCCAAATCTATTTCAACACTTTTGGTAGATTTTATCTTTGGGTGCTTCTATCTTTATAGATATATAAAAATGTAACCTTCTGGCAATAACTCTTGCGCCTAAATGAATTCTTTTTACATAATGCATCACGCATGCAACTGGGTTGGCAAATTAGTAAATTAAATTTGCTCTAATAAGCCAGTTACATGAATGGAATATTAATCATGTATCTAGCAGTAATGAATACTCATTACTAGTCAGTTTTTTTTGTTGGTTAGTATGCCAAAATAAGCAGTATAAATGTGAGACTGGATGTACTCTTTCTGCAAGAAAAAAGTAAATAAAACCTGCTCTTTCAGTTCATGGAGGACCAAAAAAGTTACTAGGTTGTGGCATGACAGATTTGGTCATCTCAATTTCCAAAGTTTGAAGGAGCTATCAAGGAAGAATATCGTGCAAGGTTTACCTGAGATGGATGTTATCGATGGGGTTTGTGAAGAATGCCAACTGGGAAAACAACATCGAGATACATTCCCATCAAAATCAAACTAGAAGACGAACTTGCCTTTGGAGCTGGTTCACACTGATATTTGTGGGCCACTGCCAGTTCCATCTTTTTAAGGTAATCGATATTTCTTAACATTCATCGATGACTATACAAGAAAAGTTTGGATTTTTTTCTTGAAGGAAAAATCAGAAGCTCTTTCTTACTTTAAGGAATTCAAACTTGAAGCTGAAAAATTTTCTGGTTATCAAGTTAAAAACTTGAGAAGTGATCGTGGCGGAGAATACGTGTCTAACTTATTTGAGGATTTCTGTAAGAGTCAAGGCATTAGACATGAGTTGACAGCAAGATATACGCCACAACAAAATGGCATCGCAGAACGCAAAAATAGGACGATCATGGAAATGGCTCGCTGTTTGTTGAAGAAAAAGAATATGCCATATGAATTCTGGGCTGAAGCGGTGTCATGTGCTGTTTATTTAATTAACAGATCTCTAACAAAAAATCTGGAAAACTGCACCCCAAATGAAAAATGGTTTGGTAAGAAGCCTAATGTTAGTCATCTCAGGACATTTGGCTCTCTTGCTTATGTGCATATTCCAGATCCTTTGAGAACCAAACTTGATGATAAATTTGAAAAATGTGTGTTCGTTGGTTATAGCGAAAGAAGTAAAGCTTACCATCAAAGCTTACCACCAAACTCTCAAATCCTCGACTTTGGAGAGAGTAATGATGGTGATGAACAGAATGAAGCGCCTCAAAATGAAGATGTTGACAGAAATGACTCTCCTCAAAACTCACCATCACCCCTGGCAAGAAAAATGAGAAGCTTGAGAGATATCTATGATGAAACGGAAGAGATGGATGGAACAAATCAAGTATTCTTTGCATTCTTTGCTAGTGAAGATCCCATTTCATTTGAAGAAGCTTCGGGAGAAGAAAGGTGGGTTCAAGCTATGCGTGAGGAGATCAATTCTTTTGAAAAAATGGCACTTGGGAGCTTACAGATCTGCCACCGAACAAAACTCCCATTGGTGTTAAATCGGTATTCAAAACAAAGACCAACCCGGACGGTTCTGTTAACAAATACAAAGCGTGTCTCGTTGCTAAGGGTTATAAACAGGAAGAAGGAGAAGACTTCAACGAGGTATTTGCTCCTGTCTCCAGACTTGATACCATTCGCTTGATTATATCATTAGCTGCCCAAAATGGATGGAAGTTGTTTCAAATGGATGTGAAATCAGCCTTTTTAAATGGCTACTTGCAAGAAGAATTTTTTTTCTTGAGCAGCCTCCAGGTTTCATTAAAGAAGGCGAAGAGCATAAAGTGTGCAAACTAAAAAAGGCACTATACGGGTTGAGACAATCACCCCGTGCGTGGTATGACCGAATTAATGATTATTTTGTTAAATCTGGTTTTGAAAGATGCCCTTATGAGCACACTCTCTATATCAAGAAAAATCGGAATGGAGGTTTCATGGTAATTAGCCTTTATGTTGATGACCTTATCTTCACTGGGAATAATCTGGAGATGTTGACAAATTTTAAAAGCTCAATGAAAAAAGAGTTTGAAATGACAGATTTGGGAGAATTGCATCACTTTCTTGGAATTAATGTTCTGAAGATGGCCTCTGGTATTTTTATTTCTCAAGAAAAGTATGCTGCAGAAGTTCTGGAGAAATTTAATATGGAAAATTCAAATCTAGTGACAACACCTTGCATTACTGGATTGAAGCTCAGCAAGAATGGTGTTGAAAAACCTGTGAACACCACCATGTTTCGAAGCCTAGTTGGAAACTTGATGTATTTGACAGCCACACGACCTGATATCGTATTTGCTGTGAGCTTGGTTAGTAGGTTCATGGAGAAGCCTTACTCTAACCATTGGGAAGCATGACATCATAATATGATTGATCATATTGTGGAAGCAGTTTGCAGTCCCTTTCCTGCTAAGGATTAGAGTAACTAGATTGAATTCATACAATATAACTAGTATCAATGTACTTGGGCATCTCAATGGCTCAATTGCTCAACTATTGAATGGAAAATGTACTAACTGCGGGAATGTGTTAGAATTATCCGAAAAAAAAAACTGACTAGTAATGAGTATTCATTACTGCTAGATACATGATTAATATTCCATTCATGTGACTGACTTATTAGAGCAAATTTAATTTACTAATTTGCCAACAAAATGGTATAAAAAGTCCAAAAATCTGATAACTTATTAAAACATTATTTTACGTAAAATTCTTGTTCAAAAAGGCATCTGAGAAGTAAGAAATGTTGCCCACACTTCACCAATTTGCCATTTCCAATCAATCGTCTGGAAATCACCTACACACATACAGATTATTATTAAACGAACTGCTTCCCAAAACCATAAAATAATACAAGTATTTGCATCACAATCAATTCATGGTCCATTGTTCAATGAACTTCCTGTATTAAAATACCTTTATTTGGGTTTAAGATTCTCATTCAAATAAAGTTGTTCTTTTAATGTCTTGCATACTGTCTTTTGCAAATGCATTATCCAATGAAAGAGAAAATATTTTTTTCTCAAAAACTTCTCAGATCACTCTCTACCTTAATGTGAAGGGGGCATTGAACAAAAAGACAATATCTTATTGTTCAATTCAGTGATGTTAATAGCGGCGCTATAGCGGTTTAGCGGAGCGGCAGACATGGAAGGCGCTACCAAGAGGGCTGTAGCGTGGTGTTTGGGTGTAGCTGCTATAGCGCCCGCTATAGCGTTGGTGCGGAGAAGGTTGTTGCGGCGAGTTTTGTGGTAAATGGGTACTGCGCATTCTGCGAGGGTTTTTGGCGTTAAATTTTGGGGATTGCTTCGCGCACCTCTCCAATTGTTATGCGCACCAATACTTGAAAATTGAAATGCATCCACATATTTAGGATGTTTTCTTTTGGCCTGAAATTTGCTGGTTTGGTTTGGTCTGGTCTGATATCTGTGTATTTTATAACTACGGAATTCTGGTTCGGTCTGATCTGGTCTGATATGGTCTGGTTTGGTCTGGTCTGGTCTGGTCTGGGACTGAAAACAGTCCAAAAGAAAACATCCTTAGTCAGTCCACTTTAAATTGCTAATAAAAAAACAATAACACCTTTCCCCATACTCATTTTGTGCAAGTATTTTTATATACTATCGTATGTAAGCTATGAAGCACGGATACTTCCCTAGGGTAGCGTATCGGCGTATCGGATACGTTCCCGTATCCGATACTCTAGGATACCCGTACCGTACGTTCCCGGGCCGTATCTGTAATTTTTAAAAGTTTCCATTTTTTTTTGTAATTTTATGAAAGTTTCCGATACTCGTATCCTGACGGATACCCGTATCAACTTTTTTTTAAAAAAAATCCCAAAATTTACTTAATAAAATTCTAAAAAAAAAAATGAAAACCTAAAACTACATTTTACTTGGTAATCAAATAATGGGCCTATATGACTATATCCGAATTAAGTCATTAACTCATACTTCGAAGTGGGTACTTGCACTTTTAATTTCAAGATTGTAGTTGTTTGACTTATTTCTCATTTTAAATTAATGACTTATTGACTACATTTATATTTCGAGATGCACTAGTGTACATGAGAAATATTATGAATTTATTACTAAATATCTTGAAAAAGGAAAATGCTTCAATGCAATGAATGGGTAGACATCATAGGATATTATATGTGTGTGTGTATATATTCAAAGAAATTATCTATTTTTAATATTTATAAATAGACCCCTATAACTTTTAATATTTGTAAATACCCCCCATAACTTTTAATATTTATAAATATGGCCCCGTATCCGTATCCTACTTTTTTTGGTTTTGACGTATCCCCGTACCCGTTTCCGCGTTTCCACGTTTCCGCGTACCGGTATCGGTGCTACATAATAATGTAAGTATAAACATAAAAAAGATACACAATGAATCAAGTAACGGCACACTGGATATTCTTAGTCCAATATAATTATAAAAATAAGAGAATATTATCCGAAATAGGACTAAAAAGGTTTGAAATTCCAAAAATAAGACTGTCATGTTTATATTCTCAAAATAGGACTAATTACTATCATGTTTTGGCAGTACCAGACTTCAAACATGGCAGTATTTTCGAAACTTGGCAGTAATTACTCCTATTTTGGGAATAAAAACACGGCAGTCCTATTTTGGAATTTTCAAACTCTTTTAGTCCTATTTCGGGAACTTTCCCTAAAAATAATTACCCATACTCTATGGATGGATATTTTCGATTCAAATCGCATAACTATAAAAAAATTCACAAAAGGCTAAAGGGTCAAATAGACCCTTGAACTGACTTAAAGTGTTCAATTAGCCCCTTATATAGGAGGTTCTGCCCGGCCATCGCCAATTGGGGCAGTTCCCGGTGGAATTTTTTTATGAAAATTTTTGAGCATCTTCTTCATTAAGTCTAGTTTACTCATACCAAATTTCAGAGAAAAATTCAACCGGGAGGCAATCAAATGATTTTTTTAAGATAATTGTGAAGTTAAACAGCGCAGTACATTTCGGAAAATCATTTGACCGCCTTCCCGGTTGAATTTTTAGCTGAAATTTGGTACGGGTAAACTAGACTTAATGAAGAAGATGCTCAAAAAATATCATCAAAAAATTTCACCGGGAACCGCC